AGAGAGAGAGAGAGAGAGAGAGAGAGAGAGAGAGAGAGAGAGAGAGAGAGAGAGAGAGAGAGAGATGGTGAAGAAAAAAAGACTGGAGATCGCTGGTCTTGAAGATCGCCGCGAGGAGAGAGAGAGAGAGAGAGTTGGTGGCAACCCACCTGTTAGATACCTCCTTGCTCCCACATGGAGTGAGATTCTTCTCGGAGGACCTCGAAATTAGGACGGTGGGAGTGAAACGGTTTTCACCATGAGGGCGTCACCACGCGGCTACTGGGGCTCGATCCTCAGACGTCTACGACCGGTAGGGAGGTCTAGACAGTCAGGATCCCGGTCCCGTTGGCGGAGGGGGGGGGTCCTAGTCCAGTCACGGTAAGGGGCGGGGGGGGGGCGGTCGCAGTCAGCAGCACCAAGGGGGGGTAGGCACATCCCGATAAGGCCAGGCCAGGCAGCAATTCACGTTCAGATCAAGTATAAGTCCATCCGCCTCGAAGGGACGGAGCTCACTGTGTGCGCCGAAGATTGCGGAAGCGCTGCCACGCAACTTGTGCACGGAGGTCGCAGCAGACCACGAGGAGGAGGAGGGCCTTAGCCCTAGAAGACATGCGGCAGCCATAGCTGCCATGTCAACATCTTGTGTGTGTGTGTGTGTGTGTGTGTGTGTGTGTGTGTGTGTGTGTGTGCGTGGGTATTCATGGAGATCCTAACTAGTTAGGACGCGTGTGACAAACAAAACTTGTTGGTGGATACAGTTGATCGGGAGGGACATACTTGTTTCGTCGCCCTGCGCCATAGCCATTTTTAAGCAATTTGAACCTGAACTGTGTTTTTGGCTGCTTTCGTATCTCTGAGTAGTGGTGGGTGCATTCAAAGGGCAGCGAAGGGCTGAGTCGAAGTGGTCATCTGTTTGTTGTAAGCAATCCGAAGTCGAGTCTGATCGCAATGGTGTGGAGAACCGGAAAAGTGGCAAATGGCAGAGCCACAGAAATGGAAAATGCACCGAATTGGATTGCATTTCGCTGTCCGAATGTTTTTACTTTTTTTTTCCTCATATTTTTCCTGGAAAGATCTATAGATGAAATCTATCAGATCTCAAATTTTCAAGTTTTTTATATATTATATTGAGCGAGGAAAATCGTCAAAGTTTGTGTTTTTTTTTCCTTTTTTTTTTTTTTTTTTTCCTT